CAGAATAAGACCCTCAATATTTATTGGAAATGCGCATCAAGCTCGTCACCTTGCACATTCACCACCCTGTGAAGTTCATCATAATTTATTTAATCTGTAGCCTAATAAACTGCATGCCTTCTCAAGTACACTACATGACCAAAAGTATGTGGACATGGCTCGTTGAACATCTCATTCTAAAATCATGGGCATTAATATGGAGTTGGTCCCCCTTTTGCTGCTATAACAGCATCCACTCTTCTAGGAAGGCTTTCCACTAGATGTTGGAACATTGCTGCGGGGACCTGCTTCCATTCAGACACGAGCATTACTGAGGTCGGGCACTGATGTTGGGCTATTAGGCCTGGCTCGAAGTCTACGTTCCAATTCATCCCAAAGGTGTAAGATGGAGTTGATGTCAGGGCTCAAGTCAAGTTCTTCCACACTGATCTCAACAAACCATTTCTGTATGGACCTCGCTTTGTGCACGGGGGCATTGTCATGCTGAAACAGGAAAGGGCCTTCCCCAAACTGTTGCCACAAAGTTGGAAGCACAGAATCGTCTAGAATGTCATTGTATGCTGAAGTGTTAAGATTTCCCTTCACTGGAACTAAGGGGCCTAGCCCAAACGATGACAAACAGCCCCAGACCATTATTCCTCCTCCACCAAACTTTACAGTTGACACTATGCATTGGGGCAGGTAGCGTTCTCCTGGCATCCGCCAAACCCAGATTTGTCCGTCGGACTGCCAGATGGAGAAGCGTGATTCATCACTCCAAAGAACGCCTTCCACTGCTCCAGAGTCCAATGGCGGCAAGCTTTACATTACTCCAGCCGACACTTGGCATTGAGCATGGTGATCTTGGGCTTGTGTGCGGCTGCTCGGCCATGGAAACCCATTTCATGAATTTCAGTTCTTGTGCTGACGTTGCTTCCAGAGGCAATTTGGAACTCGCTAGTGAGTGTTGCAACTGAGGACAGAGGATTTTTAAGCATTACACGCTTCAGCACTCAGCTCCCATTCTGTGAGCTTGTGTGGCCTACCAGTTCGTGGCTGAGCCGTTGTTGCTCCTAGACGTTGCCACTTCACAATAACAGCACTTACAGTTGACGGGGGCAGCTCTAGCAGGGAAGAACTGACTTGTTGGAAAGGTGGCATCCTATGATGGTGCCACGTTGAAAGTCACTGAGCTCTTCAGCAAGGCCATTCTACTGCCAATGTTTGTCTATGGCGATTGCATAGCTGTGTGCTCGATTTTATACACCTGTCAGTAACAGGTATGGCTGAAATAACCACTAATTTGAAAGGGTTATTATATATATTGTATATATAGTGTATCGTTGCGTGACTACAAGTTTACTTCGATATGATGGTCATTACTAAATTATATATAAATCAATATTTGCGCATTACGCCATTTCTCGCATAATTAATTTTACAGACACAAAAAGATCCCACCGTGTCGAACGAACAAATTGTCTGTCGGCATTTATAAAATTGTACCATCATTTCCTGTTTCCATCAGCCCGATTGTGACTTTTTTTATGTGTCAGGTACAGTGAGGGAAAAAAGTATTTGATCCCCTGCTGATTTTGTACGTTTGCCCACTGACAAAGACATGATCAGTCTATAATTTTAATGGTAGGTTTATCTGAACAGTGAGAGACAGAATAACAACAAAAAAATCCAGAAAAACGCATGTCAAAAATGTTATAAATTGATTTTTCATTTTAATGAGGGAAAAACGTATTTGACCCCTCTGCAAAACATGACTTAGTACTTGGTGGAAAAACCCTTGTTGGCAATCACAGAGGTCAGACGTTTCTTGTAGTTGGCCACCAGGTTTGCACACATCTCAGGAGGGATTTTGTCCCACTCCTTGTTGCGGATCTTCTCCAAGTCATTAAGGTTTGTCGTTTGGCAACTCGACCCTTCAGTTCCCTCCCCAGATTTTCTATGGGATTAAGGTCTGGCGACTGGCTAGGCCACTCTAGGACCTTAATGTGCTTCTTCTTGAGCCACTCCTTTGTTGCCTTGGCTGTGTGTTTTGGGTCATTGTCATGCTGGAATACCCATCCACGACCCATTTTCAATGCCCTGGCTGAGGAAAGGATGTTCTCACCCAAGATTTGACGGTACATGGCCCCGTCTATTGTCCCTTTGATGCGGTGAAGTTGTCCTGTCCCTTTAACAGAAAAACACCCCCAAAGCATAATGTTTCCACCTCCATGTTTGACGGTGGGGATGGTGTTCTTGGGGTCATAGGCAGCATTCCTCCTCCTCCAAACACAGTGAGTTGAGTTGATGCCAAAGAGCTCGATTTTGGTCTCATCTGACCACAACACTTTCACCCAGTTCTCCTCTGAATCATTCAGATGTTCATTGGCAAACTTCAGACGGGCCTGTATATGTGCTTTCTTGAGCAGGGGACCTTGCGGGCGCTGCAGGATTTCAGTCCTTCACGGCGTAGTGTGTTACCAATTGTTTTCTTGGTGACTATGGTCCCAGCTGCCTTGAGATCATTGACTAGATCCTCCCATGTAGTTCTGGGCTGATTCCTCACCGTACTCATGATCATTGCAACTCCACGAAGTGAGATCTTGCATGGAGCCCCAGGCAGAGGGAGATTGACAGTTCTTTTGTGTTTCTTCCATCTGCGAATAATCGCACCAACTGTTGTCACCTTCTCACCAAGCTGCTTGGCGATGGTCTTGTAGCCCATTCCAGCCTTGTGTAGGTCTACAATCTTGTCCCTGACATCCTTGGAGAGCTCTTTGGTCTTGGCCATGGTGGAGAGTTTGGAATCTGATTGATTGATTGCTTCTGTGGACAGGTGTCTTTTATACAGGCAACAAGCTGAGATTAGGAGCACTCCCTTTAAGAGTGTGCTCCTAATCTCAGCTCGTTACCTGTATAAAAGACACTTGGGAGCCAGAAATCTTTCTGATTGAGAGGGGGTCAAATACTTATTTCCCTCATTAAAATGCAAATCAATTTATAACATTTTTGACATGCGTTTTTCTGGATTTTTTTGTTGTTATTCTGTCTCTCAATGTTCAAATAAACCTACCACTAAAATTATAGACTGATAATTTCTTTGTCAGTGGGCAAACGTACAAAATCAGCAGGGGATCAAATACTTTTTTCCCTCACTGTAATTCATCCGCATTCTTGGTTGGATGTAAACCTGGTTACTGTTGGTGATTTATTTTATGCTCATTTATGCAAAAATATAGTTTCCATGAAAACATACATGAAATGAGTTTGAATATGAAATATAGCAAAATGCATAGGAAATGTAGTCATTGACAAGACTTCACCCCATGCTTCCTGAAGCACTTCCCACAAGTTGGATTGGCTTGATGGGCACTTCTAACGTACCATACGGTCAAGCTGCTCCCAAAACAGCTCAATAGGGTTGAGATCCGGTGACTGTGCTGGCCACTCCATTATAGACAGAATACCAGCTGACTGCTTCTTCCCTAGTTTGCAGTTTGGAGCTGTGCTTTGGGTCATTGTCCTGTTGTAGGAGGAAATTGGCTCCAATCAAGCGCCGTCCACAGGGTATGGCATGGCGTTGCAAAATGGAGTGATAGCCTTCCTTCTTCAAGATCCCGTTTACCCTGTACAAATCTCCCACTTTACCACCCCCAGACCATCACATTGCCTCCACCAAGCTTGACAGATGCCATCAAGCACTCCTCCAGCATCTTTTCATTTGGTCTGTGTCTCACAAATGTTCTTCTTTGTGATCCTAACACCTAAAACTTTGATTTGTCTGTCCATAACACTTTTTTCCAATCTTCCTCTGTCCAGTGTCTGTGTTCTTTTGCCCATCTTAATATTTTATTTTTATTGGCCAGTCTGAGATATGGCTTTTTCTTTGCAACACTGCCGAGAAGGTCAGCATCCCGGGAGTCGCCTCTTCACTGTTGATGTTGAGACTGGTGTTTTGTGGGTACTATTTAATGAAGCTGCTAGTTGAGGACCTGTGAGGCGTCTGTTTCTCAAACTAGACACTAATGTATTTGTCCTCTTGCTCAGTTGTGCACCGGGGCCTCCCAATCCTTTATATTCTGGTTAGAGCCAGTTTGTGCTGTTCTGTGAAGGGAGTAGAACACAGCGTTGTACGAGATCTTCAGTTTATTGGCAATTTCTCGCATGGAATAGCCTTCATTTCTCAGAACAAGAATAGACTGACGAGTTTCAGAAGAAAGTTCTTTGTTTCTGGACATTTTGATTCTGTAATTGAACCCACAATTGCTGATGCTCCAGATACTAATCTCAAGAAGGCCAGTTTTATTGCTTCTTTAATCAGCACAACAGTTTTCAGCTGTGCTAACATAATTGCAAAAGGGTTTTTTAATGATAAATTAGCCTTTTAAAATGATCAACTTGGATTAGCAAACATAACGTGCGATTGGAACACAGGACTGATAGTTAGATATTCCAATAAAAATCAGCGATTCACAATTTTACAGAGTTACAGTTCATATAAGGAAATCAGTCAATTGAAATAAATTCATTAGGACCTAATCTATGGATTTCAAAAATATAAACACAACATGCCTGTTTAGCTTTTTACATACATTTTCCTATATCTGGCTACTCTGACTAGGTTGTAGATATACTGTACCATACAAGCTCTCAGACTGCTAACTGATGTCTATTTAAAGTTTACACTAAGGAAGCCTTATGAAGACAGTTTAGAGTTGTGAGTGCAATTATATTTTTGTGAAAATTGGTTATTCATCTATCTGGATACTCTGGCTAGGCTGTAGATATACCATACATACTCAGAAATTGTGAAAATGTATTATTCATAAAGATAACTGTTTTCCTCCAACTGTATACTCTAATGAGCTTGTATGGTATATACACTGAGTATATAAAGCATTAAGAACAGCTGCTCTTTCCATGACAGACTGACCAGGAGAGCAGAATATGCATTTCTGATTTAAGTTGGCCAAAGAAAGTTGTATTGTACAAAACGTGGATACACAAAAACAAGAGTTTGAGTCATTTCTGTTTATTAGATCCTTCAGTCGGAGAACCAACCATAATGCTCCAATCAGACAGACCCCCCCACCAACACACATTTGACACCCCAAACCCCACCCACTGACGATCTCACTCCCTAGCTGCGCCGCCCTGTTCCAACACACCTGATTCTACAAACCAACTGCTCCACAGGACTGTGATTAGCTGAATCAGGTATGATTCTAGAGCCAGGTCTGCTAGATAGGGATGCTGTATGTAAGTCTGCATCTCAAATGACACCGATTATCTATATAGTGCACTACTTTATAGCAGCCTCCTTAGGTTAGACACAGGGCACTGGTCAAAAAGTAGGGCATAGTGTAATTTGGGATGCAGCCATAGACTACAGTAAGACTATATATATATATATATATATGTAATCTGACGGAGCTTTATACTGGTTGAGTTTGACCAGGAGAAGCTGCTAGTTCATATCAGCTGCTACACACACTTTCCAGTTGTGAAGTAAATCATCATCCCATTAAGAACAGTAAAGACAGAAATCATAAACCCAGGCTAACAGTGTTTGAGAAGCAGAGAGCAACCGTTTAGTGAGCATGAATGCTGCTAGAGAGGGTGCTGCTACGGTCTGCAGACACAGTCGCACACAAACAGGGAGCAGTCCCCAGGAATTGATTAGTTGGCCTTGGAAGGGGGAAGGGGTGAGAAGTGAAGGGGGTTTGGGGACAAGCCCTTACTGGGTGAATGTAGGTTGTTTACATACATACACACACCTTGTACTGGGCTTCCAACTCCATTAAGCAAAGAAGTCTGAGCAGGGGCGTGGAGGGAGGGGGCAGCCTGCTACATGTTAACCAGAGGGAGGGGAGGGGGACTCCTTTTAGCCACACCTCCAGAGTGCAGTCAGCTACAGAAGCTAGCTGCCATGATGATAGCACACAGACACACAGGAGATACAGACGAGCCATGGACACACATGCACTTCTCTCTCACACACAAACACTTTCTCTCTTTATAAACACAAACGTCTGAAGTTATAAAAGTCTTCATGACAGACAGACTACCACATCTGTCTCCAGCAGCCATTACTCCTGTCCTCCACTCTCCTCCACCTCCATCCCTCCTCCATTCTCCATCCCCTTGTCAGCCTCCTCCTGATAATCACAGCAGAGAGAGCGCAAGAGAGATATTAATACAGTTTAGTTCAATGTTCAGAGGCGCTGTAGCTTTATAGACGGGTTGGCTGACAACAGGCATCGTTATGATTCTGAATGGTCAGATAGCTAGCAACAATGACAAGAAGCTGCCATGTGAGGAATCGGAGGAGGCTTGTTATTGATGCCATGTCTATGCTAATATGGCTAAAATAACAAAATGTATTTGAGAGACAAGTGCTCATAATGCAAATGTATTTATGTTTTCAATAAACATTTGGACTAAATATAGGTTTACATGTTGTCAACAGTCTAAGCCAACCCAGTCTGTTTTGCCCCATAGTTGCGCATAGTGTTGTCACGGTACCAGAATTTTGAATTCAATACCATCCTGACACTCAAAACCAAATGATACCACGGCAATAAACAAGGCATATTAGCCAAAGCCACAGAATGGCACTTGATCCAGACAGATAAACTCAGCTATTCAATCATTGGGCATCTTTTGAGTTCATTATTACATGTGCATTTATTTTACATCAACATGTTTCAGAGACAGCCATGTACAGTGCATTCGGAAAGTATTCAGACCCTTTGACTTTTTCCACTTTGTTACGTTACAGCCTTAATCTAAAATGTATTAAATGTATTTTTCCCCTCAATCAACACACAATACCCCATTAAATGACAAAACAAAAACAGGGTTTTTAAAATTAATAAAAAAATGAAACATTTACATAAGTATTCAGACCCTTTACTCAGTACTTTGTTGAAGTACCTTTGGCAGCGATTACAGCCTCGAATCTTCTTGGGTATGACGCTACAAAAGCTTGGCACACCTGTATTTGGAGAGTTTCTCCCATTCTTCTCTGCAGATCCTCAAGCTCTGTCAGGTTGGATGAGGCGCTTCGCTGCACAGCTATTTTCAGGTCTCTCCAGAGATGTTAGATCGGGTTCAAGTCCGGGCTCCGGCTGGGCCACTCAAGGACATTCAGAGACTTGTCCCGAAACCACTCCTGCGTTGTCTTGGCTGTGTGCTTAGGTCGTTATCCTGTTGGAAGGTGAACCTTCGCCCCAGTCTGAGGTCCTGAGTGCTCTGGAGCAAGGCTTCATCAAGGATCTCTCTGTACTTCGCTCCGTTCATCTTTCCCTGGATCCTGACTAGTCTCCCAGTCCCTGCCGCCGAAAAACATCCCCACAGCATGATGCTTCTACCACCATACTTCACCGTAGGGATGGTGCCAGGTTTCCTCCAGACGTGACGCTTGGCATTCTGGTCAAAGAGTTCAATCTTAGTTTAATCAGACCAGAGAATCTTGTTTCTCATGGTCTGAGAGACCTTTAGGTGCCTTTTGGCAAACTCCAAGCGGGCTGTCATGTGCCTTTTACTGAGGAGTGGCTTCCGTCTGGCCGCTCTACCATGAAGGCCTGATTGGTGGAGTGCTGCAGAGATGGTTGTCCTTCTGGAAGGTTCTCCCATCTCCACAGAGGAACTCAGTTTGGCCAGGCGGCCAGCTCTAGGAAGAGTGTTGGTGGTTTAAACTTATTCCATTTAAGAATGATGGAGGCCACTGTGGCGGCAGGTAGCTTAGTGGTTAAGAGCATTGTGCCGCAGTGGTCTAAGGCACTGCATCGCAGTGCAAACTGTGCCACTAGAGATCCTGGTTCGAATCCAGGCTCTGTCGCAGCCGGCCGCGACCGGGAGACCCATGGGGCGGCGCACAATTGGCCCAGCGTCATCCAGGGTAGGGGAGGGAATGGCCGGCAGGGATGTAGCTCAGTTGATAGAGCATGGCGTTTGCAACGCCAGGGTTGTGGGTTCGTTTCCCATGGGGGGCCAGTATAAAAAAAAAAAAATGTGTTCACTAACTAAGTCGCTCTGGATAAGAGCGTCTGCTAAATGACTAAAATGTAAAAAATGTAAATGGTTCTAATCCCCGAGCCGACTAGGTGAAAAATCTGTCGATGTGCTCGAGCAAGGCACTTAACCCTAATTGCTCATGTAAGTCGCTCTGGATAAGAGCGTCTGCTAAATTACTAAAATGTAAAATGTGTTCTTGGGGACCGTCAATGCTGCAGGTACCCTTCCCCAGATCTGTGCCTTGACACAATCCTGTCTCGGTGCTCTACGGACAAGTTCTTCGACTTCATGGCTTGGTTTTTGCTCTGACATGCACTGTCAACTGTGGGACCTTATATAGACAGGTGTGTGCTTTTCTAAATCATGTCCAATCAATTGAATTTACCACAGGTGGACTCCAATTAAGTTGTAGAAACATCTCAAGGATGGTCAATGGAAACAGGATGCACCCGAGCTCAATTTCAAGTCTCATAACAAAGGGTCTGTATACATATGTAAATAAGGTATATTTTTTCTTATTTTTTATACATTTGCAAAAATGTATAAAAACCTGTTTTCACTTTGTCCTTATGGGGTGTTGTGTGTAGAATGACGATGGAAAAAAATATAATTGTATCCAATTTAGAATAAGGCTGTAACATAAAATGTGGAAAAAGTCAGGGGTGTGAATACTTTCAGAATGCATTAATGAATCAATTATACAATCAATTTGACCTGGTTTTTACCAATTTAATTACACAACGGTAATAATTTATTTGAATGGTAAATCTGTTGATAAACTGGGTAAATCAAGATGTAGCCTAGGCCTATCCACAATACAGGTGAAGGCATATTCAATAGGAGTGTGTACATGCATTGAGTTATTTAGCTTGTTTTGGCTGATTTCATAGGGCTACAGATGAAACAACCTGCTTTCCTTCCATTTGGGACTTAATTTATTGAGCTGATCAACAACATTTGCATAGAAGTATCTTCATTTATAAATGAGTAAATGGAGCAGGCACGGTGCAAGCTATAATAACGGGTCAACTGCGCTGATAGACAGGCTTGATCCATGAGACATGACAGAATTACCGAAAGTAACACAAATTCTAGTACCGAACTGTTTTTCATGTTCAAGTACAACATTTTCGGTATACCATCGGTTTTGTTGATTAACAACCAACCCGTCTATAGAATGCTAAGTGTGGGTTAGTCTGCCTTATGGTGGTTAATTTAGAAAACTACAGCCTTGTTCTGCGTTCTCTTCAGTAATCCATCACCACGCACCTTTGGGCTAGGGGAACTGTGTGATGTGTAGGAGCTAGGAAAAAAGTGTGTTATGTGTAGGACCTAGGGAAAGTGTGTAGGAGCTAGGGAAAGTGTGTAGTGTGTAGGGGCTAGAGGAAGTGTGTAGGGGCTAAGGGGTGTTTGTCTCACCTTAGCGTCTCTCGCAGCAAACTTCTGGAACATGTTGGCATAGAGCCTCTTGTCCTTCTCATGCTGCTCCTTAATCTGCTTCTGGCACAGAGCCACCTGGAAGGGCAGACAGACCCAGATCAGACAGACAGCAGGGAGAGATGGGACATCCAGATGAGGAGAGGGAAGTTTAGACTGAGGCACACAAAGACCATTCTAGTACAGTACCTGGCTCTTGGCGGCCTTGTTGCTAGGATACAGTTGTATGACTCGCTGGAAGTCCGCTCTCGCCCTTTCAAACTCCTTCATGGCAAACAGTGCCTCCCCCCTCCGGAATAGAGCCTTTTCATTGGTCTCGTCCAGCTCCAGGGCCTACACACATGAACGAGAGAGAGCAGAAACCATAGGTGAATAAGTGTGGTGTGGAATATTCAGGTAGTCAGATATGTTCAGATACAGTCAGGTGTGCGTCTCCTGAATGAGTGTACCTTGTCACAGTTGTCGAAAGCAGAGCTTGGTTCCTGTAGCTTGAGGAAGCACATGGCCAGGTTGAGGTGAGCAGCCAACCGCAGGGCCTGAGCCTTCTGCTCCTCCCCCTCGGGTAAACTTGATTCATTCTCCAGCCACGACACGATCCTCTTATACTGGACAGACGCCTGGCGATACTTTCCCTCCTACACACAAACACACGTCATACAGTTTTACACAGCATCGCTGCTTGAAGCTACTTCCCTTCACACAAAGAAATGTTAATACACACCTTGAAGTACTGTGTTCCCTTCTCCTTGACAATGATGCTCTGCTCCAGTTTCTCTGCTGAGTTCATTTCCCAGGATTCCTTGGCCTGGGGAACAGGAAATACTTCAGTCAGTCAGCCAGCTAGCATATCACCTCTCAGAACACCAGACTCTAGGGCACGTTCAGTAGGCAAAATGTGTGGAAATGCCATGAATAAAATGCCTAAGGGATCTTTCTGGACAGGACCATCTAGTTGATTTGGCTAAATTAAGAAGGGTCATACCTTCTCGAAGGTGGTCAGTTTGAGTTTGTACTGCAGAGTGGCTCCACCAGGAATATTGTACTTGCTGCTGCCTGTGTTTCCATAGCCATACCTACACACACACACACTTAAATATCCATACATAGAGAGCACAGGAGGCTGCTGACGGGAGAACGGCTTATAATAGTGTCCGGAACGGCGCAAATGGAATGGCATCGAACACATGGAAACCATGCGTTTGATGTATTTAATACCATTCCACTGATTAACACGAGCCCGTTCTCCCCAAATAAGGTGCCTCCAACCTCCTGTGATACAGAGTGCAGACACAACTCGGCCAATATACCCAGAGAACACACAATTACACATTTCTCAAAACAACAACATAGTATGTACACTAGGTTTGTAGTGGGTATTACTTGGGTTTAATGATGAAGAGGGACTCCTCTCCCTGCTCCATAGCAGTCAGGGCTTTTTCCACTCCGCTTGGCAGACCCAGGCTCTCTCCATCTCCCAACTCAAACTTCAGCTCCCTTTTGTCAAACACCTTGCCCTCACAGCTGCCCTCCAAACACACTGCAGGGGAAAGAGACAGGTGTGTGAGAGCTTGTACCCTGTACATTAGGTCTTAGTTTGGTTTGGGGTGTCTGTTCCTTATTGATGATACGTTTGTGTGTGTGCGCGCGTACCTTCTACGGCAGCTCCTTCATTAGGCTTGGTGTATCCCTCTCCCTTAGTGATGATGCGACGGATGATTCCTCCATCCTCTCCCTCAGTGATGTCCTCCCCTCGAAACTCAAACAACTCCACCTAACACACACACACAACATTAAATTTGAGCACTCACAAAGTCACACACGTCAATGTTGGCACAGAATATTTACCTCAAAAACACACCCTATCAATACTTGACAGACAGAGGGTTACCTGGAAGATAAGGGTAGCGTTGGGGGGTATCTTCGGGGGGCTGCCGGCAGTGCCGTAGGCGTACTCTGGTTTACAGATCAGCTGGCTGATCTCTCCTACTTTCATAGTAGCCACTCCCAGGTCCCACGCCTTGATGACCTGGCCTACACACACACACACACAGTTATAGTAGCTACACCAAGGTCCAACACCTTGATCACCTGGCCTACACTAACTAACAGACACACACCTTTGCCCAGCTCAAAGGAGAACTTCTCTCCTCGTTCACGACTGGAGTCAAACGGGGTTCCATCCAGCAGCGTGCCAACATAGTGAACAAACACCTTGTCCCCAGTCATAGGCAGCTCTGTCCCCGTGCCTTCCTGCTTCACCAACTAGAGATGGAGGGGAGGGAGAGAGAGACTGAAGATTAGTTGTGCTGTAGCAATGTTTGGCCCAGTCAACCTATGGTAGTGTCACTGTATGCAGTCTAGTACACTGAACAAAAATATAAATGTAAAAGTGCTGGTCCCATGTTTCATGAGCTGAAATAAAAGATCCCAGAAATGTTCCATACGCACAAAAAGCTTATTTAGCTAAAATGTTGTGTACAAATTTGTTTACATTCCTGTTCGTGAGCATTTCTCCTTTGCCAAGATAATCCATCCACCTGCTAGGTGTGGCATATCAAGAAGCAGATTAAACAGCATGATCATTACACAGGTGCACCTTGTGCTGGGGACAACAAAAGGCCACTAAAATGTGCAGTTGTGTCACACAACACAATGCCACAGATGCTTCCAGTTGAGGGATCGTGCAATTGGCATGCTGACTGCGGGAATGTCCAGATAATTGACTGTTAATTTCTCTAACATAAGCCGCCTCAAATGAAATTTTAGAGAATTTGGCAGTACGTCCAACCGGCCTCACAACCACAGACCACGTGGAACCATGCCAGCCCAGGACCTCCACATCCGGCTTCTTCACCTGCGGGATCATCTGAGACCAGCCACCTGGCCAGCTGATGAAACTGTGGGTTAGGACTACCGAAGAAACTCAGCTCATCTGCGTGCTCGTCGTCCTCACCAGGGTCTTGACCTGACTGCAGTTTGTTGTCGTAACCCACTTCAGTGGGCAAATGTTCACCTTCGATGGCCACTGGCACACTGGAGACGTGTACTCTTCACGGATGAATCCTGGTTTTAACTGTACCGGGCAGATGGCATACAGCGTGTGTGCGAGCGGTTTGCTGATGTCAACGTTGTGAACAGAGTGCCCCATGCTGGAGGTGGGGTTATGGTATGGGCAGGCATAAGCTATGGACAACGAACACAATTGCAATTTGAATGCACAGAGATACTGTGACGAGATCCTGAGGCCCATTGTCGTGCCATTCATCCGCCGCCATCACCTCATGTTTCAGCATGGTAATGCACAGCCCCATGTCACAAGGATCTGTACACAATTCCTGGAACCTGAAAATCTCCCAGTTCTTCCATGGACTGCATACTCACCAGACATGTCACTCATTGAGCATGTTTGAGATGCTCTGGATGTATCCAGAGTTGTCTCCCGAGTGGCTCAGTGGTCTAGAGATCCTGGTTCGAATCCAGGCTCTGTCGTAGCCACCCATGGGGTGACACACAATTGGCCCAGGGTAGGGAATGGCCAGCAGGGATGTAGCTCAGTTGGTAGAGCATGGCATGGTTTCGATTCCCACTGGGGGCCAGTATGAAAAATAATGTATGCACTCACTAACTGTAAGTCGCTCTGGATAAGAGTGTCTGCTAAATGACTAAAATGTTTTTAAAAAAATGTATGTTCCAGTTTCAGCCAATATCCAGCAACTTCGCATGGCCTTTGAAGAGGAGCAGTACAACATATCACAATCAACATCAAAATGTGTAGCGCTGCATGAGGCAAATGATGGTCACACCAGATACTGACTGGTTTTCTGATCCACGCCCCTACTTTTTATTTTATTTCAGGTATATGCATATCTGTTTTCCCAGTCATGTGAAATCCATAGATTAGGGCCTAATGAATTTATTTCAATTGACTGATTTTCTTATATTAACTGTAACTCAGTAAAGTATTTGAAACTGTTGGATGCTGCGTTTATTTTTGATAATCGTTTCCAATGGAATGCTTCACGGTTGTTTCCAGAGGTAGTTGCATGTCTCGGCCGTAGGCATATGAATTTACAGGTTATAGTCTGCTGGCTATCGTCAAGATATGAGTAGCTAGCCAGTTAGCTAGCTAACAATGATAGTCCAACATATATTTATCGCTAGCTAACATTAGCAAACCCCAAATGTTGCAAATTCAGTCATTGGACTGCGTTGCAAAACCATCTAATTAGTCTAACCTAGCCAAATGAAGAAAATAAAATATGTTCGAAAATAGTTTAGTCAGGCTAGTTATCTGGTTATATTATTCATTGCATTGCCATTGGCTAGATAAGCGAGCAAGCCAACGTTAGCTAAGCTAGCTGGCTAACTAACGTAACTTGTTCAGTTACCTTTAAAACCCCTCCATCTTTCTTCTGCGTGATATCCTCTCCCTCCATCGGGATGTTGTTCTGTTCTTCGTTGGTTATCTCTTCTGCAGTCATAGCCCTTAAGCCCCTGAAACACTTCTGTCTGCAAACCTCTAACGTTAGCTAGCTAACAATATGGCTGGCTGGCTAGTAGAGTAGAGCGCTAGCTAGCTAACTATGGTTCGGAACGGAAGGCAAGCTGCGCCACAAATCAGCTAGATCAATATTCAGTTTGTCTTGTTTGCTATATTTTGCATTTAGCGCCAAATTATGCCGGATATAGACAGTTGTGCACCAGTCTCCAAACTGAATGTGTGCTGTTGAGCTGCTTGGCTAATAAGTCAAGGGGTCCACGTTGCTGTGTTGCTTGCTTAGTTCTAGCATCTGGAGGAAACGCCGAGAACTTTCCAGATACGCAGCAAGGAAAGGGGGGTGGGGGACTTTGCGTTGGAGGGAATTGGCACCGTCGTGTGAAGCAAGTGACTCAATCGTCATCTAACGAAATACACATAATGTACATTACCTCACACATTGTTTTATGGTGTGGTAAACACATGTATTAGGATATATTTTTTAACGGGTTTATTTGGGGGAAAGATGGTGCATTCAAGCCAAATCGGAAACTCGAACATTTGCGACTTGTAAACGCTTTGTAGAAAGATGAGACCCGACTTTCCCACTTGGAAAGTATCAGAATCAACTAATATGAAGCTCTAATCAAATAACTTGCGTTAATTTTAACTCAGAGGTTCCGAGTTTTCGACTTGTCATGAATGCACAATTTTTTTTACAACCATCTCTCAAATAATCAAATAATTTCAAATAAAAGCCCTGTAAACTCAGCGCTTTATGCTGCGTTCAAGACAACTCGAAAATGTCCGACTTGGAAACTCATTGTAGAAAGATTAGGTTTGGAAACTATTAGAATCAACCAATAGGAAGCTCTATGCAAATTTTAACTCGGAGGTTCTGAATTTCAGAGTTGTCATGAACGCGCATGAGGTCCGTGCAGAGATAATAGAGAAAGAGAGACATCTATCACTGGCACAAAAAAAAATCTGGGGGGTCCACGTTGCTGTGTTGCTTGCTTAGTTCTAGCATCTGGAGGAAACGCCGAGAACTTTCCAGATACGCAGCGAGGAAAGGGGGGTGGCGGGCTTTTCGTTGGAGGGAATTGGCACCGTCGTGTGAAGCAAGTGACTCAATCGTCATCTAACGAAATACACATAATGTACATTACCTCACACATTGTTTTATGGTGTGGTAAACACATGTATTAGGATATATTTTTTAACGGGTTTATTTGGGGGAAAGATGGTACATTCACGCCAACTCGGAAACTCGATCATTTGCGACTTGTAAACACTTTGTTGAAAGATGAGGCCTGAGTTTCCCACTTGGAAGGTATCAGAATCAACTAATATGAAGCTCTAATCAAATAACTTGTGTTCATTTTAACTCAGAGGTTCCGGGTTTTCGACTTGTCATGAATGCACCATTTTTTTTTACAACCATCTCTCAAATAATCAAATTATTTCAAATAAAAGCCCTGTAAGCGCAGCGCTGTATGCTGCGTTCAAGACAACTCGAAAATGTCAGACTTGGAAACACATTGTAGAAAGATTAGGTTTGGAAATGACTTGGAAACTATCAGAATCAACCAATAGGAAGCTCTATGCAAATGTTTACTCGGAGGTTCTGAATTTCAGAGTTGCCATGAACGCGCATGAGGTCCGTGCAGAGATGAAAGAGAGACATCTATCACTGGCAAAAAAAAATCTGGTCAGGGTGGAGTGAGCAGGGAGGGGACATTGAGCACATTCGAGTGGATCACTTTTGTCAAGAACTGGGGATTACGACTGCCCCCTCTCATTGAAGACACGGAAGTTCAAGGCCGACCGCGGTACTGCAGGCATGTTTCTAAGACAATACTTGTACCAATAATTGCTTCTAATACATCACATGTACATTTATGTCCTTGAACTGATTATTTTTAAAATGCACACAGAATAAGTTATAAGGATCATTTCGCTGCTAATGGCAGCCTGCAGTACCCCGGTCGGCCTTCAACTTGAGTTACTCAATAAGAGGAGGCAGCACTGAGCGAACATGCAACGTAAATTCCTGGAGGAGTTCAAACTGCGCATGTTATTCGTGCTTTCAAGACAAATGGGAACTCGGGAAAAAAACGAGGTAAAATCATGACGTCGGTGATCTTCTGGTTGGAAAGTCTAGAAAGATGCCTGAGTTTCCGATTTGGAATTCGGAGTTGGATAACAGTTTAAAACGATTTTTCCCATTCAGAGCTTGTTTTTTTTCAGAGTTTGCAGTTGTCTTGAACACTCTGAAGTGGGAAGTCTTCTATTTCCGAACACTCCAGCCGACATTTGGCATTGCGCATGGTGAACTTGGGCTTGTGTGCGGCTGCTCGGCCATGGAAACCCATTTCATGAAGCTCCCAACGAACAGTTCTTGTTCTGATGTTGTTTCCAGAGGCAGTTTGGAACCCGGTAGTGACAGTTGCAACCGAGGACAGACGATTTTTACGCACTACCTGCTTCCGCACTCGGCGGTCCCCATCTGTTCCTAGATGTTTCCACTTCACAATAACAGCACTTACAGTTGACCGGGGAAGCTCTAGCAGGGCAGACATTTGACAAACTGACTTGTTGGAAAGGTGGCATCCTATGACGGTGCCACATTGAAAGTTACTGAGCTCTTCAGTAAGGGCATTCTACTGCCAATGTTTGTCTATGGAGATTGCATGGCTGTGTGCTCGATTTTGTACATCTGTCAACAACGGGTGTGGCTGCAATAGCCAAATCCACTAATTTGAAGAGGTATCCACATACTTTTGTGTATATATAGTGTATCTTAAATAATCCCGCAGCACCCCCCCTCGCACCACCTCCCAAGATAAAAAATAATTTTGTGAACTAACACGCACACTTCACTTTCCCCCCCCCCCCCCCCCCCCCTACTAGCTCTGACCTTGCCGATAGCTACTTTATTGAGGAAATGTGTCTGATGTGTGTGTAACAGGAGTAGACTGAAGGCCAAGAACCTGATGTACATCAAACTGATAATTTTGTGGTGGAGGAGCTGGTGCATGTGCTGGGAGGTAAGTATGTTTGTGTGCCAAGTCTCTAAATTAAAAGGTTTCATTGTTAGCACTGGTGCTCCCAACTTAGAAAAGTTAGGAGCACAACATCAAATTTAGGAGCATCAGAAAAGGGGATTAAAAAAAATCTTTGATTGAGATATAGCCTATATGAATTCGAGCAATTTCTTGTTTTGCCCTAGAAACTAATAGGTAACCCTGTAAATACATGTATTTATTATAAAAAGCAAAAATGTTGATACAAGTAGCTGTCATTGAAATTACTAAATCACTTGTGGATTCTACATAGTTGAGGCTTAATTCCGTTTTGTTTTGTCCCAAATGTTTTGTTTTTCCAGGTTTCGGATTTCCCCCGGTTTTTCAGGTTTTCGCTCTCAAAATCACACTTTGTTTAATAGAACATCCACTTTTTTGTCCACAACAATGCTTTAACTACATCAGGAGACAATTTTTTAGGTCTGGCAAAAATGCAATAACTTTTATTCAAGTGTGCACAATGCACCTATAGCAATAGCGGTGTTTGTGTAGCCCACATGTGTGCAGAGTTTGCTAAAGAAATGCCTAGTAGATTCTGTAGCCCACATGTGCAGAGTTTACAAAACAAATGCCCAATGGATTGAAGCAAATTATCATGATATCATTCTGCCAGGTAGGTTGGCATGGGCTTCTTTGTAGTTAACATTTAATTGCGAAGGTTTTGAGAAATTCTTTCCATCTACCAGAAGGCGGTTGTCATTACCATCGCTAACGGCTACACAAGGTGGTAGACATGTGCGAACCGCACAGCGCACACACAGACGGGCATTCCCGTGCGTTGCCTCTTCAGAAAGTTGCAGGAAATACGAATCTGATGTATTCTGTTCGTGTCTTATAATATACTTGGGAAAATGTATTAATCTTTTGAACTGTTTGGGCAAGAAACAATCTAACTAATCTGTGCCTCCTTTTTTCTCAAAGGCACTCTGAAACAACGGTACAGCGAAGCCTAATCATTATAACAATTATCCTGGTGAACGTTTTTTTTAGGGGCACTGGTGCTCCCAAATAAAAATTCCAGGTCGCACAGCAAAATATTAAGGAGCATATGCGACTAAAATGGTCACACTTTAGAGCCCTGGTGTGTACGCAAGGAGGCCATGAAAAAGAGCCACACATGTAGAGAAGACAGGATAGGTATAATATGGTAATAGCTGCATCTTGCCTTCTGGTCAGCTGGGTGTCTTCAGGTTAGGTGGGGCAGAATCCACACAGCCAGACTACTCAGCCAGGTAAGAACACACACACAGTCTGAAGTGACCTTTGTCTCCCAGCAACTGAACTGCGACCACACACACACATTAGTGATGACCTGACAAATTAAAGTCAATACGACTAGTCTGTGTCTGTGTGTCTAGGTGTCTGACTTTAAGCAGGAGCTGTTGGGGTTGGAGCGAAGCGCATCACAGAGTACCCTGAGATACTGCACCTTGGGATAGATCTGGGAGGGCCGGCGGAAGTTAGCTAGAATAAGAGAGCAGGTTAAAGGTCTGTGTTACAGTAATAGTGATAGTAAATCATAAAGTAAAAGTAATTTCCCATGATTGAAGTGCCTAGCTGAGAAGCCCCTGCTTTGGACCAAATGACTGTGTCTGTGTGTTTGGCAGGTCATGTGGTTCCTCCAGAGAATATCCTACCTTTAGTGCTGTGCAGCGGCCCGTCTGGTCAGGAGCTGAAATTCACCTTCCAGAACAGACACACCACGCATAGTAACACACACCCACACACACCTTTTAATGTCACAATCTGCCATTCGGAGAAGCCAATGTTAGTGTCTGTGTGTGTCTGTGTCCATGTGTGTGTAGATGGAGGAGACTGGCCATGTGCTGTCTAACCTGTGTAACATGGTGCAGGGAGGTGTGGTGTGTTTCTTCCCTTCATATGACTACTCCATGAGGATTCTGGGACACTGGGAGGCCAGCAGAGTCCTGGCATGACTCTCTTGCAAGAAGAAGATATACCATCTAGCTCTCAAATATAGCCGTTTCTGCCTCTCAGCAAGGTTTTGGTCTTGAAAAGTCCATATATTCCGTGTGCGTTTCTCTCAGATCTTCCAGGAGCCAAAGAAAGCCAACCAGGTGGAACACATGCTCAATGAGTTCTCGCACACAATCCAGGTGAGACACAAACAAACTACCATCGCTTGAAATTATGAGTACTAAAGAACTTCTCATCTCACCTTTTTGAGGTTTAAACATCAGATAAAGATATTGCTTATTGGAATGCTTGTTGAAAGACTCTCCCCTCTCTCTCTGAGGTGTGCTGTGGATGGGGA